ACACACCATATTCAATGACTCCCCCTGAGCAACAAACCCAGGTGGTTGCTCCATATATACTTCCTCTTCAAGATCACCATGTAAAAAAGCATTTTTGATATAAGTTAATGAAGAGATCAATGTCGAATGGCTAGAAGAAGTCTAACAGATGCCATCTTGACTACAGGCGAGAAGGTATCACTATAATCCAACCCAAAAATCGGGAGTGTATCCTTAGGTTACCAAGCGAGCTTTAAATTGTTCAATCTTACCATCTGGACCAACCTTCATTGTATAAAACCAACGACAACCTACTAAAAATTTTCCAGGGGTAGAGAAACCAGTTCCCAGGTCGTACCCACTGCTTTGAAGAGCACTCATTACATCAATCATTGCTTGCCTCCATTCAGGGTGAGATAAGGTTTCACCTAGAGTTTTAGAAATAGAAACAGAAAACAAAGAAGTGTACTGCAAGGGAAAAGACGATGATAACATAAATCAATATAATGTGGAGAAGGATTTCGTGTTTAACATATACCTTTTCAAAGGGCAATCGGAAGATCAGACTCAGGTTGCAAGATCGGATCCAGTGATGGCGACAGCATCAGAGGAGAGTCTGCAATGATCTCAGGGACAGGTACGACAGACGTTGGTTGACGACGCTGATATGTTTGAAGTGGGCGAGAAGTTGGGGGGGGGGTGTCAACGGTAGGGGTATCTAGTGGGTCAGGTTCCCTAGAATGATGGGGGACAATGGCAGATGGGACTTCCGGAAGAGGGATGGGAGTACTCTCCTGTAAGGGTTCTGGAGTTGCTTGGCTGGACCTCAAATATGGAACAGACTCAAAGAAGGTAACATCGGCCGATATGAGGTATCGTTGTAGAGTATGTGAAGAACAACGATAACCTTTTTGGGATCAATAATAACCAAGAAAGACACACTTTAGCGATCGAGCTGATAATTTATCAAGACCAGGAGAGAGATTGAGTACAAAACATGTGGACCCGAAGACTCGGGGAGGAATTGGGTTTAAGTGGAGAATTAGGAAAAAGGATTGAATGAGGGATTTTATTATTAAGGACAGATGAGGACATGCGATTTATAAGATAACATGTTGTTAGCACAGCATCCCCCCAAAACCGAAGTGGAACATTACCATGGAGAAATAGGGTCCGAGTGGTTTCTAGGAGATGCCGATTTTTGCTTCGGCTATCCGGTTTTGTTGAGGTGTGTGAGGGCAAGATGTTTGATGGAGAATATCATTGTGTGACAAAATTTTTAAATTGTTGGGATAAATATTCACGGGCATTGTCACTTCTTAAGGTATGGATAAACAAACCGAATTGAGTTCTTATTTCTCGATAAAATTGTTCAAAAAATAGAAAATAATTCAGATCTATTCTTCATTAAAAATAACCACGTGCAACGTGAAAAATCATCAATAAAGGTGACAAAATACCTAGATTCAAGAGTATAGACAATATGCGAGGGACCTCAAACATTGGTGTGAACTAAAGCAAAAAGGGACGAAACTCGTTTATTGACTCGATTGGAAAATTGACTATGAGTGTGTTTCCCTAACTCACACGACTCACAATGTAAATTAGATACCTTCGATAAATTTGGCACCAACTTATGTAATTTGGAAAGACTGGGATGACCTAACTGAGCATGGATAGTGAGTGGAGAATCTTTGGCTGAGCATGTCTGAGATAACACTGAGAGATAATAAAGGCCTTGAGACTCACATCCGACGCCAATCGTCCGTCCCGAACTCCAATCCTGTAGGGTAACATTATTGTTAGTGAAGGTGACACTATAATCAAGAGAACGAGTTAAACGACTGACTGAAAGTAAATTAAATGGACAATTAGGTACATAGAGGACAGAAGTAACAGAGAGAGAAGGTAGGACTTGAACAGTACCAATCCCTTTAGGTCGGGTTTGAGAACCATTGACAAAAGTTATAATAGGTAAGAAACCAAAGGTAGAGAGGGAAGAGAAGATTTTTATTACCGGTAACATGATCAGATGCACCAGAATCAAGTACCCAAGGTCCAAGAGAAGATGGTTGAGAGAGGCAAATAGATGAATTACCAGTGTGCGCTACCGTAGCAGTGGAATCTGAGTTCTGATAATTCTGAAACTACCTAAGGAAACCATCGTAGTTTGGCGTAAAGTTCTGAGGAGTAGCCATTAGTATCTGAAGAGAGAAAATATCAAGCGATCGGCTGCCGGACGTGCTATCACGTGCGGTTCAAGTGGCGGCGCATGAGGCCCACGCGCGGAGACAGAGGTGACGCGTGCGGAGGTATCTGCCGGTGACAAAGTGGGGAACGGCTGGATCGGAGGAGGCACTTCTGCCGGAAGGTCGCCGTGAACAGTAGCAACGGCGGCGGACGGCAGCGGCAGTGTATGGAAGCCAAACCGAAGTTATGACACGGTTGCCAAAAATTTCTCACCAAAAGACAGTGGGTCAACCAAATAAAGCATGGTGAATGATTGTCTATTAGTAGGCTCTAAATACCATGTTGAAATACAAGAGACTAAGAGATATTTGAATAAACCGTGTGTTTTGAAAAGCACTACGGAGAAATTATTATATATAGTGAGAGATTACAATTAATTACATGATATAGTCGATGTGGGACTATTCTATATACAAATATTCTTAACATTATATATTTACAAATATAAGATTCGGTGGGCAACCTGCTATTAGGTTTCCGCTATAGGGTCACTCGTCATTTATTTCCACGCTCCAGAAGTCCAATTTTGGGGGTGAGAGAGTGTGTTAAGAGTCTCACATCAGACAATATATGACTTAAACATGTCTTTATAAAGTGGGGGCAATCCTCATCCTATAAGCCGGTTTTTTAGAGTTGGGTTAGACTCAACCACATTTCTTAACAATAACCAAGAGGTGAAAGTTGGAGACCATATCATCCCACGCTGTTTAAATATTTTGGATTCGTAATACAAAACGACGGAGAAATAGAAGGGGATGTAAACCATCGAATTCAAGTTGGGTGCTTGAAATGGAGGATGACATTAGCAATTTTATGTGACAGAAAGATACCGCTCAAGTTGAAGGGAAAGTTTTATCGGACTGCATTAATATCTGCGATGTTGTATGGGATAGAATGTTTGGCGCTTAAGAATCAACACAAGAATAAAGTAAACGTAATAGAGATGAGGATGTTGCGTTGGATGTATGATAAAATTGGACATGATAAGATTATAAATGACAATATTAGAGAGACTGTTGGGATAGCACCTATAGAAGAAAAAATGGTGGATAATAGACTTTGGTGGTTTGCGCATGTAGAGAGAAGACCTTTAAATTCTGTGGTAAATAGAGGAGATCAGATGGAGAAAGATCAAATAGTTAAAGGTAGAGGAAAAACTCTTGCTATGAGTAAGGACTCATGCCATGAGTAAGAAACCTAGTGAATTCATGCCTACATTTTCTCATAAAGAACCTATGAGTAAGGACTCTTGGTATGAGTAAGGAATTTAGTGAATTCATGCCTGCATTTTCTCATAAAGAAAACAATAAGAATCTTGAAAATGATAATGATGATGAACTAACTTAAATGCCTACGATAAGTCGTGTAAAGAAAACAAATTTGAAGTAACAAACAGAATTTGGAAATTATTGGTCTTTCTGAAGGAGAACCATAAAGAAGGTGATGATCTCAACGTTGCCATGATTTTGAACAAGAGAACAATCAACCTTCTACAAAAAGGAAAGGTAAGTCTATTTTTGTTTTTGAGAGTAAAGTCGTGTTTTGTATCCTAATATAGATCCCCCGGTCGTTAGGAAACCTGTTAGATCTTGCACTTAGCACCATTTGTACAATTTTATGTCATATTCAAATGTGCCTTTGTCTTTTTCTGCTTTCACCTCCTAATTGTCTACTGTAGAGATTCCAAATAATATACAAGAAGCTCTAAAAATTTCAAAGTGAAGGAAAATCATACTCGAGGAGATGAGAGCTCTTAGAGAAGAAAGAAACTTGGAATGTTATGACACTACTGCAATGCAAAAAGAACGTGGGATGTAAGTGGATGTTTACTATGAATTATAATTCAGACGGGTCATTTGAAATGTATAAAGCTCACTTTGTGGCTAAGAGTTTCACTCGGACCTATGGTATTATACTACTCAGAGACATTTGCTCCTATTGTAAAACTAAACATTGTCAAAGTACTTTTATCTTTTGCTGCTAACCTAGACTGACCTTTACATCAATTGGATGTTAAAAGTGTCTCCCTCGATGGCGATCTAGAAGAAGTATACATGGACAGTCCTTCGGGCTTTGAAGAGAAATTTATATCAAATATATGCAATTTGAGAAAGCCTCTTTATAGTCTAAAACAATCTCCGAGAGGTGGTTTGAAAGATTCACTCATTCTATAAAGATTCAAAGGTATTCAAGGACAAGTTGGCCACACTTTATTTGCAAAAAGTTTCCGTCATGGAAAATTTGTTGCTCTGATTGTTGATGTAGATGATAGTGTCCTCACTGAAGATGATACATATGAAATTGAAATAGTAAGAGAGAGACTTGTTGAAGACTTTGAAATCAAGGACTTAGGATTCTTGAGATACTTTCTTGATCGAAGAAGAAATTTCGGCCAACTGGCACTCATGGATGCTAATGCAAAACTTTGGAGAAAGAAGTGTTCCTGTTGACACCGGAAATGTTTGTCACACTGTGCATAATATGCCCATAAAAAACTGTTTTCCTCTTAGTTCTTTCTCCTCTCAAAAACTGACATGAATGAACATAATTAAAGTTGTCAACAACTTCACGTTCAGTTTAAACAGGGTGAATGGAGAAATAAAACAAGGTTGACAATCCCAAATTTAACAAGTCAAAAAACATAAACCCCTAATGAAAGAGTAAGATTAACATTTCCGAGAATAAAGCACCAGTAAACAATAAAATTATAACCAATACAATACTAAGCAATAATAGATTTACAGAAGTTAGATAGGAAAAACTGTTCTGACCTCAAATCTCCAAATGTCAAAATTCAGAGACACATTAACAGCCAGACAATCTTCCGATGCCTGCAAAGTTATTTATAATTGAAACCTTTGCCATGACTTAACACAGCTCAGTGATTAAAAAGATTGCAAGAGTTCTGAAGATTACTGACCGAAAATTCAAATTTGAAAAGATCATGTGATGCGAGCAAGTGACATCTTAGACCCTAAAAAAGGTCGTGTCAGAAGTATTGAAAACTGGTATATACTTATCATAATTAAAATAAAAAAAATAAAAATTATAGCTCTAAATTAGTGGTCAAAAGTAGTGTTCACCTTATAGCTTCCCCATTTAATCAAACAGAATGGACAGGAGAAATTTTCAGAGACTGTTGACAAAGCTTTCAGTTAATATGTGGGCTGATTGCCAGTAAGCATTTATATATAATATATAAAGAAAGTAAAAGAACATAAAGAGCTGACTGTTTATAACAGAGCCCAGCTAACTAAGTACTAATCTCTAGCCAAATAATCAGTAATTGACTATTCTCATCAACAACAAAAAACCATAATTGGTTGTATATTCTGATATTAAAGCTAATATTCTTAATATAAATGTAAAAACTCCTCATTAATTTGAGAGGTGACAATTAGACTAATACTCGATGCGTCAGCAAAATTTACGCGCAGTAGGTAAGAGTTTATCCATCAAAGAGATCTGAGCATTGGTGAACTAGCTCCTGAACTTTCAGTTGATAGGGCTCTGTAACATCTCATGAACTAACTATCCCCAAAAAGCTTGAGTTACCGGGAGAAGAGACTAGAAAATAAAGCTGAAATCGATAATGGTTAATTACGTCTCTTAATACTGGATAACAGACTAGGAAAATCACTAGAAAACTCGCTTAGCCGCCAGAAAATAGAGCATGGTAAACAAAGAGAGCAATAATAGAGATTCCATGTTTTGGGAACTTGGAAGCAGAACAGATTGGGTTATGGAAAATGGTACAAGTCTGGTAAAATGTTGAAAGAGACATTAGTTGAGAGAAATTATGTGCTAGAGAAAATACGTGTAGGAGCATTTATTGATTGACATCACAATCAATCACCAGGCAATCTCACTTCCCTATCTTTTTGAACTTTGAGGTCGGGATACTAGACACATCACCTCTTTTAAATTTCTGAAAATGTAAAGTCTGTATCCTGACTGTGCTAATGTGGTCAAGAATATTTGGCAAGAGAGGCATAGGATGTTTCATGGTGGTTTTATGCACCAATTTGAAAAATCTGAAGTTAAAAGACTGAAATAAAATTGTTTTTGGCAACATACATATTAGTGTGCAAAAGGCTACTGAGGTTCAGGGTCAGATTAAATACGATGGCTATTCCGATAATCTTAGAGATCAATAAAAGGTTGCTCAGGTTGCCTTAGAGCATGCTTTAAAGATGAAGGAGGAGTATTGGCATGAGAAAGCCAAGGTGAAGTGACATGTGCAAGGAGACCGAAACACTTCCTACTTGGCTACTTCCACAAGATTGCAAAGATTAGACATGTTACTTGGTAAATTACCTCTTATGCATGATGCCAATTTGTGGACTGATCCTGAGGATATTACTAACCACTTGGTTTCTCATTTTGAGAAGATTTCCAATACCAATAATAATTGCTTGAATAATGGTTTGATTGAAGAAACCATTCCTAGTTTTGTTTATGAGCGCAACAAGCATTCCTAGTAAAAAGGAGGTGAGGAATGTCATATTTTCCATAAATGCTGATGGAACTCCATGCTAGGATGGGTTTTCTTAAGATATGTGGTTGGGCCTAACTCAACCCTATAAAACCGGCTTGTAGGGTGAGGATTACCCCCACTTATAAACACATGTTCAGGTTATAGATTGTTCGATGTGGGACTCTTAACACCCCCTCTCACATCCAAGATTTGCGTCTAGGGCGTGGAAGTAAATGATGGGTGGTACCAATGGATATTAAACGAGACACTGATACCATCTTAAGAATGTGTGGTTGGGCCTAACTCAACCCTGTAAAACCGGCTTGTAGGGTGAGGATTACCCCCACTTATAAACACATATTTAGGCCATAGATTGTTCGAAGAGGGAGTCTTAACAAGTTTGATGCTTATTTTTTCCATTATTTTTGGGACATTGTTGGCAGTGACATGTTTGAGGTTTGTATTTATTAGAGTTATATCTTAGGATATGAAAAATCAGCACTATAGAATAATTAAGGTCAACCTTAATTTAATAGAATAAGAAAAGTCATCCTTAAATGTAAAGCTTGAATGATTCAACTCTTGAATGTTCAAACTCCACTTGTATAAATAGAGCATCATGCTCCATTCCAATTCAATATAACAGTAGAATCAGCTTTCTCTCTCTTCTCTCTCATATCTCATTGTAATATGGTATCATAGAGCTTCGGTTCTATCCATGGCAGCGACTCCGGCCACTGCAGCATCTATGTCGTTCCAACTCAAAATCACAGAAAAACTTGATGAGAAGAATTTCCTACTTTGGCGCCAACAAGTAGATCCTTTCGTTAACGCAAATAATCTTCAAAACTACCTTTACCTTCGTGACATACCGAATCAATACCTAACTGATGAAGATCGTACAGCTGCTCGTGAGAACCCTGCGTATCGCACCTGGATTACGCAAGATCAGTGGCTTATGACGTGGCTTCAATCCACGCTTTCACCTTCAATTCTTTCACGCGTTCTTGGATGCGTTCATTCCTACGAGCTCTGGGAACGTATTCTTGCGCATTTTCAAAAGCTTACACATGCAAAAGCAAGACAACTACGAGCGGAACTCTGATCTACAACACTTGAAGACAAATCTGTTGGTGATTATCTGGTTCGCATCAAAGTTCTTGTTGATGCGCTTGCTTCAGTAGGAGATCCAGATCCAGATCAGCAACACATTGATGTGATTCTTGAAGGTCTTCCTCAAGATTTTGCCTCTGTTATTTCAGTCACTGAAAGCAAGTTTGATTCAGTAGAACTTGAAGAAGTTGAAGCTCTTCTTCTTGCTCATGAGATGAGATTCAACAAGTATAAGAAACACTCTCAAATGGAGGTGGCTGCCTCAGTGAATCTCACTCAAGCCAATTCTCAACCTAAAACTGATAACTCCAATAACAAGAACACTGAACAAGCTGTGAATTCAATCTTTAATCCAACCAATTCAAGAGGAGCTCGTGCATCTGGCCGTGGTGGTGGACGCGGCCGTGGGAAAGGTAGATTCAGCAACATTCAATGTCAAGTTTGCTTCAAATATGGCCACCTTACTGCTGACTGCTATCACAGGTTCAATCAACTGTTTCAACCTAACATACCTGCTGATTTTCAAACAATGAACCTACAAAATTGCTACAATCCGTATCAACCAATTGGTGGACCTCAGTTTGCTCAGCCCATGGTTAACACGTGGTCACGCCCAAGCTATCAACCAAGACTTGCTCCACTCCCTGTTCCTCAATCACATATCACTCCCAATGCTATGATTGCTAACACAGCTTTAGTTCCAAGCAATGCCTGGTTCCCAGACTCAGGAGCTTCTTATCATGTTACCAATGCCTCTTAAAACATACAGCAAACCACACCTTTTGAAGGTCCTGATCAGATCTTCATTGGTAATGGTCAAGGTTTGCACATTCACTCTTCAGGCTCTTCTTATTTTCCCTCTCATTCTAAACCCAACACTCCAGTAGCTCTTTATAATTTACTGCTTGTTCCTTCTATTACAAAGAACCTGATAAGTGTCAGCAAATTCTGTCTTGATAATAGAGTTTTCTTTGAGTTTCGTGCTGATAAGTGCTATGTCAAATCTCAGGCTACCAATAAAATTCTGCTCCAAGGTCGTGTAGGAAGTGATGGCCTGTACCAATTTTCCCATCTTCAGCTTCTTAAGTATCCTTCAACAAGTCAAGTCTCATGTCTCACCTTAAACTCTAATGCTCCTGTTTCAAGATCTGATTCCAGCACTAGTGATAGGGTTTCAGTTTCTAATCAAAATGTATCAGCTAATAACTCATATAATTCTCAACTTACTTGGCATTTACGCCTTGGTCATCCAAATTCTAATACTATGAGACTTGTTTTAGCTCAAGTTATATCTTACGATGATTATTGCAATTGTATTCTATTTTCATTGATTATTGCAAACAGTTACAAGAGTTTGATTATATAAGATTTGCTATCCTACACCCAACAAGAGGTTAACCTACACCCTTGTGACTAGAGTTTAAGGCTATTACATGTTTGTTAAAATAGCAAGCTAATTAATACTCTTTTTCTAATCTCCCCAAACTTTTTCTTTTTTGTTCTATTAGAATTGAGCAGTTTGAGTGTGGGTGCAGGAGTGCCTACTTAGTTAGGATGTTTGTGTCATCAACGTTTGCTAACTTTTTTCCTTAAAAAAAAAGACGGACAAAGGCTAATAATTCTTAGTAATCATTACTCTGATATAATTATTAACATGAATATAGTTGATTATATAATCTAATATAGATGCTAATATTCAAACAAATGCAAACTTATATCAGTATCTAATTTGGAAGGAAAAAATTAGAAATTTGTTACTCCAAGAAAATAAACTTAAAATTCAAAGCTGTAATCAACATTTAGATTACCTTCTGTTCTCTGTAATTTGTTCTTGTAATACCTGAAATATTTTTTATAAAACAAGAATCATTAAAACTGTAGAATAATACAGAGCAAAAATATCAGCATTTCATCTAACGGTAAAAGGCGTAAAAGGGAGGCAAGAGAGAAGTTGAAAAATATATTTTAAAAAATAGCGCTCCAATCCATCTTCTATTTCATATTTACAGTCCACAAAGAAGACATAAAAATACCCCATCACAACTGAGTTAAAATGCTATACCTGTAATTAAATGTCACCTTTCCTTCTTTCAACCTGAACCATACATGCAGCTAAAAGTTAAACACCAAAACTTAATGAATAGGAATTAGATTAAAGGTCAAACCCTGCCCCACCCAAAACAACAACAAAATGCTACAACTTTAAGTTGTGGAAAGCACAAATATGTAACGAAAATTCAGAACCATGGGAACTAAATCAGGTAGAAACCCCATTAATTTAACGGTATACATATTAGGAAATAAACCCAAGATATGAAAAAGGCTTTATCAGTCACTGTTTTTTGACTTAAGTGATGAGAGAGCCTGCTTAGAAAGCTTTGACAGCTGTAATAATAGTACACAGTAATAACTAAAATTACATAACAAAACTCATAGAAACATCCCTATATGCCTAACACTCCCCAACAGACACTAATGACAATGAAATTTACCGAATGAGCCGAGATAATGATGATCTTGATGATGATGGTAATGCTTTTCTACGGTTGCGAGATTTCTCTATGGCCTCGATCTCTTCAGCAAAGATTTTTATTTCAACGCTCTTTGATGATGTACTCTTTGGAAAGAACAGAAAACAAACAAGAAGCAGTCAAAACAAGTTCTCCATGTTTGGGTGTGGGGATTTTTTCTTAGTGGGTAAAGACAAAAACAAGTTCTCCATGTTTGGGTGTGGGGATTTTTTCTTAGTGGGTAAGGACAATTGAGGCTAGAACAAACCTCAATCTCAGAATTCCATAGATCTTGGATTGCAATGGTCGTACCCTTATTTACAAAGTCATACTGCAACGTGAAGAAATTTGTAACAAAATGCGTCTATCATAATTGCAAAGATCCGATAAAAAGCATAAAATATTGTAAATAAACGCAGTGCCCACTGAGTAGCATATCATTTAACTAGCACAGGGCAAGTACAATATTGATCATCAGCCACATATAGATAGATGTCATACCTTCAAAACACATGGAAGCAGATCAAGAGTAGTTTTAATCTCAGCTCGTTGTCCCCAACAGAAATTTGGAGAATTTTTCCAAGCCAAGTAAATGGATTGAAAAGAAATTTTCCCATATAAGCAGTTCTTTTCAGCTAATGCTGTCAAGTACAAAATGAAATAATATGAAAGTTTACAAATCACCTTTTTCTATAATAAAATCAAGAAATTTTTTTGGAAGGAAATGTCCAAGAGTGCCAAGGCAGTCAAAATATTATATTTACATTTTTGAAAGAAGAAACTCATTAAGAAAAATAGAAGATGATGACTCTTAATGATAAGAGATCCTTCTTAAAAAATAACAAAGAAATCAAACAATAGAGATCAAATAAAAATTTCAAAAAGTATGTAGGCGACATCACTGTAAAAATAATAAATATGGAGGCTGCTCAGGCAATAAAAAGGTGACGGAATAAATAATATGGAGGCTGTTCAGGCAGTACAAGGTAACAAAATAAATTGTCAAACCATATTTTTGCATGTATGAAGTTATCAATTGGTATATCTCACATTCATGAGATGTTGGATCTGAAGGCCCCCGGCTTGCATTGACTCTAGATGATGAATCTGAGTTTCCCTCTGCAAGTAAATAGTTATAACAATGAATTTAGTAAAACATTATATATACACATATATGACAATTGGGTTGCACAACCATATGCATACCAGTGGTAAAAAACAAGAGAAAAAGTGAGCCAGAATTAGCTTCTGCAGCTAACTTATTAACTTCACAAAGCGTAAATTCTGCTTTGATTATACTGTTCCCATCAACGCCGGATGAACCTCGAATGGTGACTATCTGACTGAGTAGATAAACAGTAGAATACTTTTTGTTTTTTGTAGGCTAAAGCAAAAAGTAACATGCAAGAGAAAAATTATTAAATAAGATATTAATAATTATACACTAAAAATAGTTAGCATAAAGAACAAAAACCAGTTCAGCTTAAGAGCACTATTCTTACACCAGCGTCTTCATTCTTAAGATCACGCCTTGCCAGACTGACATAAAAAGGAAACATGTTTTGAGTTTCTTCATCACTCCATGACAGCAAAACTGTTATTTGTATCCTAAATATTCATATGAGATATCTAATCAGCGTCACAATATTTTTATTTACACTAAAGAACAATCAAAGAAAATAAGGCGACAGCCAAATTGAAATACCGGCTCAATGAAATAACTAGAAATTATAATAGCTACAGCCTTATCTCAAAAAACATAAATAATAAGTATAGCCTGAATAAGGATAAAAAAAGGCATCACAACGTCTACATAACATAACATAAATCATCTTAAATGTCGCTTCATACTAAAAAAGACTATCAGCTACCCTGCTGAGGATGGATTAGGTATGTCTGCCAGAACTAATTTGCCTATATACATTAAGAGTGCACAAAAAACCAGAAATATTTGGTGCTGAATCAACAATGACTTCTTATTTTTATATTAGAGTAACAAGACTATGTAGGGATGTTGAGTTGTAGCTGAATGGTGATCATCTGCTCACGCAACATGGATGCTAAGATTTACTTTAGAGTATAAATTCTATACCAAGGAAAAACGCAAGGTTTACATATTGGCTAAGACCAATGAGCCTTATAACTGAACCAGATCCCACTTCTTGAGCTCCACGTTTTATTTAATGGTAGCATAATTTTTTTCTTGGATTCTTGGTTAAAGATGCAATGCTTGCATATAAAGTTTATTATGCCTAACGCACTCAATTAGAACTACACAACTATGAGCCGCTAATGAGTGGGTATGTGCGAGTGTGCGTGAGCGCACGCGCTTGAGAGAGATAAAAAGAGACTTCATTGGCGTCAGTGTCAAATTTAGCATACTTACATCTTCAATATTGTTTTTTAGAAAATGAGGCATTAACCAATCCAACCATTGAGTCGTGCTATATTACCTTTGTAATCATATATGCAAAGTTTCAGATGATTTAGACATTCATAGGCCTGTAATTTAATAGTAGACAACAATGTTGTCAAATATCAGCCATAAAGACGCCATGGCAGATTATGGTAGCGGATTTTTTGACAACTGCCATGTCCATTTTATGAAGGATGGGGACATCATTACATTTTATGGTGAATATAGCAGCATAAAATTGGCGGGTTTTTGGCTTTCCGCCGCCCACCGTCAATAACACTGGTAGACACTAGCTTTACATATCATATCATATAATACATTGAAATGAAGTGGCATTGTGAAGCACAAATAGTTCCGGATTTATTTTGTGAAATTTTGCTGACTTGATACACTAAATGAAAACATTCATTTTAACAGCTGGATTGGTTAATTTCACATTTTCCAAAAGATTAGTCAAGATGTAACATGCTAGGCTTGAGGCTATGATATCATCTAATAACAAATTCATCAAGATGAAGAAGACAAAACTGCAATCAGAATGGGAGAATAAGGAATCTTCTTACTCAATAGAACAAAACATAAAGCAATGAAAGAAAAATGAGAAAAATCAATAGAGTGAAATTGCCCAGTCTCTCATCATATCTGTTAGTGAAACCCAATACATCAAAAGCTGTTGAAGAGAGTCCTACATCAATATCAGTTGAAACCCCCCACTTGAATGGGAACAATATTATGACATGAACACATTAACTTGGTCAATACATACCACCATATGTACACCTCACATGATAAACCACAGCAACAATATCAACAGGTATCAAAGTTGCTTAAAGAAATTAGTGGAGAAATACAACACTTACAGAAAGAGCTATTCTAACTCGTCTTAGACCAAGAAAAAATTACATGTCCAAGTGCAAAACTAACAACTTAAGTTCGTTCATTCAGCTGAGCCCATATCTCTTTTTCATATCAAAATCAAAGTTGTCACTAATTTATAATAGTGACACTCTACTTTTTTCTCAATTCCCAAACTATGAAATCAATCTCTTGCAAAGATAAGGTACTGTCTACAATCTCTTGAAATCAATCACATATGGAGATCAAAGGTTCAAATGGATGGCATTGGTTCAAGTTAGGAATCACTTTCTTGCAAAACCAAACTACTGACTACAATAAATCCACAATGGATCCATCCCTTCTTTGGACCCAACAACGATGGAAACTTTATAGCTTTAGGTTGCCCTTTGTGAAGATTAACATATAATATTAAATACACGTCAATTTAAAAAACGAAAATTATGGTTATTTAGTAACCACCACAAAATGGCTCCCAAATTCTGAGATATACCTATAAAATTCCTTTATTTGAACTGAATGAAGCATAAACATCCAACAGGAGGATATGGAATATAATTTGACATGAATCTATTAACGAAAAGGGAGGAAATAAGGTAGGGAGGATTTTATATGATAGACTTTTACCTATTGTTGTCCCTGGCCTGTATCCGGTACTCGAAACATCTCGGAAGGAAAACTGGCTACATAACAGACATGTATTCTGTTAGAATGCATTATGCAATAATATTTTTTAGGTAAAATCTTGAGAGACCATAAATCAAGAGGCCAGGAGATAAAATTGAAAGGGAGTTATTGAGTAACTTGAAATAAGAAGTAAATAGAAAATATAAGAAATGGTTGGAAAACAACAGGTAGAAAAAGAAAATTCAAAGGAAACAATAATTCTACCAATAATAAAACCAGCTCTGTAGCTCATGCAATTTAACCCAGGAAATAAAACAAATATTATAATTTACAATGATAGATAATTTTAGCCAGTTAGATGAAATACTACTTACTGAGCTTATTGTTGCACGGTGATGAAGAATGTTGTAGAACTCTACAGGCTTGCAAAAAACTGAAAGACTCTGTTCTGCAGCAAGTTTCTCTTCTGCAGATAATTGTGCACAAGCATCTAGAGAGCTAGGTTGTTGATCCGTGCTTATAAAAGTACTGTGGGAGAAAACAGATATTAGAATTCGCTATGTTGCAGCATTTTCTGAAAAGAAAACTACATTTGTTTCCCTTCCATGGGAAACTACATCGAGAACATTTCTGAATGGAACACCTTTTCTAAAAGAGAACATACCATAGTTCACCAGCATCGACAGGATAGCCTGGCATTCTTGTCATACAGGTCTAGGATATAAGCACATTTAACGGAACCTCTGTGTATGTGAAAACAAACCTGCAATTTAAAATGGGGCACGAAATCACCAAAACCATATATTGAAATCTAGTAATGCAGATATTGGGAAGCATTGAATATTAGTGCACCATATTGCAGCTTAATCATCAATAAACGATAAAAACTCGTTTTTTTTTAGTTGAAAATCCACCAAACAAAGTAACACATGTTTGTACCATTAAATGAAATTTCCTTCAGGTTTCAAAAACTTTAAGGAAAATTACTAGGTAACCATTCCATTCGACTTCAAATTTAAGGAAAATTAAACATACAATGGAGAGAAGATTCACATTCCCATGTAACGCAAGATGTAATAATACATCAAGTTCTCTATGACGAAAAGTAAACAATAAAGGCTCTATTTAGAATAAACAACTTAATTAGTCAAATTGTTTTCTCATAAACTATAAGTAGTTTACTATCTTATATAGCTTGTGGAAATAAGCTGAAAACAGATTACGGACACGTCATAAATTGCTTCCATAAGCTCTACAAAACACTGGCAAGTTATGAAGCACAGACACCCCGAACACGACACCGACACTCACACGGCGACATCAGTAATAATTTTTAAAAATAATAAATTAAACGTAATCAAAAGTGTCGGTGTTGGTGTGGACACCAACACAAACACATCTTTACGTCACGAGATAAGATCAAATAAGTCAATTGAAATAGAACCTAACCTAATAATAGTAATATGCCAACAGTCATATTTAAGGTAATATAGCCACAATGAGTGTAAATTGAATCATATAGAATAACATGCTGTGCCTGTTTCTATGCAACTGATGCAAACTTGCATAAGCCTATACATGAATACTAATACAAAAATAGTAAAGATATTAAAACCAGAGTTTCAACACACTCCAACTTAGTCTACTATTTCTATCTTCTCAACAATACTAGAATTTCAAATTTCAGCGTAATTGAATAATGCCATAATCAGTGATAAAACTAATAATGTACGACAATGCATAAGAAAACCTAAACTAATAAGCATTTTGCGATACACATTCAGAACAAAGAAACATTAACAACAAAAAAATCCAAAGCAAAAATTGAGAGAGTACCAGAACCTGAATGGGAAGAAGAAAGGGGTTAAGGGATTGAAGTACGAAGAAGAGTAGCATAGCAATAGCATGACGGAAATGGGAACACAGAGAGAAAGTGAAAGCGGTGCCGAATCAAGGAGACAAACTCAGACTAGCGATTAACGACGAACGGTGAATCATTGCAGAATAATAATAAAAATAAATAACCAAAAATATCAAACTTTGTTCTAAGTTTGCAACCATATGAGAATGAAATGAAAAATGAGAATAGCATGGGTTTAAGGCTTAATACTAATACACTAACTTTTTTGACTATGTCACATTCATTGATTTATTAGCATAATCTTAAATAATTAGTGTTTAAAAGTCAAAGTAAGACAACACCCATAATATAAGTAAATTTAAGAAGAATTGTTGTCTTGTTAGGAACCTTGAGAAATTGGAAATGCTAGGGTTAGTTAATAAGTAAAATAAAATGCATTGAAATATGGATAAGAATCTCTTCAAGAAAATAAGAGTACCAAAGGAATGAAATCAATAATATAAATATAAATATTTGTGGTTTTGTAAAATGAGAAAGGATCTAGTTATCAAGTTTTGTATTGAGTTGGATTGAGTTACATTGGTTTTATTTAATTTAGATTTATATGAGTTAAACCAATGATTAAACCAACTACTATGTTTTAAAGTTTTTTATTGTAATAATGATTTCATTTTTATTCTAATATGTGAAATCTAATTTCTCAAAATATTTATTAAAAAATTAAAAATTATTACACGACTCGAACTCCAACGATTTCTCATATTTTAAAAATGAAGTTAGAAAATGTTACACCTAAGATTTGTAAGCGGTGCAAAGTAAAATGAAAAAAATGAGAGAAATTGTGTTATCTCACGATGAAGGTAGGATTAAAACATCAAATCAAATCAGATCGAGGTATGCATTTTCATCGTGTATTTTATAAAATACAAGCTTATAGTAACAACGATACAATGATAAATAATATTTGACATTCACTAAAAGATTAAGAATTACCTGGAGCGGCTCGATTTCCAGCAGTCTCTTCAAATTTTAAGAATGGAGTTGAATCGGTTGAAAAACCTAGATTTGTGAACGGCGCAAAATAAGACAAAATATGTGAGTGAATAAAAAACTATCTATATAAATCATTAAATAAATATAATAAGAGAAATTATTTTATTCTACAATAAAAATTAGATTGAAACAACAAATCACCTTAAAACATATGTTTTTATCATGTATTTTACAATAAACAAAAATAAATAGTTATGTATGTGGCTAATTATACTAATAAAATATTTTTAAAAAGTAACTTAAATTTGAGAAAAAATTAAAATATATATGGTCTATAAAACCTCTAAGATTACATTGATAAATTTGTTTTTTTTTTGTTTTTAATGAAAATATATGGGTTAAATATGATTTTGGTATTGTAAAATTTAAGTTTTTAATTTTAGTCTTTGAAAAAAAAATCATGTGTGGCTATATGAAACTATTTGTATGCATTTGAGTCCTTTTATTAGATCAACCCCATTTGATTAATGGAGTAACACTTGTCACTACCATGTCAACTTTTTTTATGACATAACTCCATAAGAAAATAGAGGAAATGAAAAATGAGAGATTGAAAAGTTTATAATATTTTAATGTAACCTATGAATAGTATTTTTAATTAAGAAGAGAAAGAGATAACAAATATAAGATAAAGAGAGAGGAAAATTGATGGAAATAGAGGGAATGGAAAGGGAGAGAGGGGAATAGAATGTGGGAAGAGAAAATGGATAGGAAATAATGATATAAAGAGAGATAAATTTTGTGTGAGAGAGAGAGAGAGTGTGTGTTCTTAATAAATTGGGTCAAATTCTCTCTAATCTCAGTCATATACACATTAGCCCAATTACAACTCCAAGAGAGAGATTGTATTGGAAAGCAATCCTCTCAAATCAATTGACTTATTTGGTGTTTCTCACTTTCTCTTATGTTGGTTATGTTTCGAGAAAAAGACACAGTTATGTTGTGCCTAATCAGCTTTGACCTTCGATTCGACTGCATCTCTCTCTCTCTCTCTCTCTCTCTCTCTCTCTCTCTCTCTCTCTCTCTCTCTCTCTCTCTCTCTACACACACACACACATATACCCATACACACACGTGCGCACATTCATGAGCTGTGATTGCAACCTCGTATGTCATCTGTGACCTCAGCTCATTCGCGAAGTCAACTTTCTTTCTCTCTCCCTGTCTATTTATCTATCTATATATTTATCTCTATCTATCTCTCTCGTTTGCCACCTCAGCTATGTTTCTCGTTCGTCACCTCAACTTTGATTCTTGTTTTTTAATAAGTGTTTTTTATGACTTTGTGATTGTTATTGTTATGATTGTTATCGTGAATTAGCTTTGATATTACAAATCCAGATGTTGTACAAGCTATTGTGATTCTGTTGATTGTTGTTGTGCTTTTGAAAATCACTATTGTTATTTTGTTGATTTGGGTTTCTTGAAGTTTCTATTGTTATTATTGTGTTGATTTATGGTCTGTTTGGTTCAAATGAGGGGAATGGGAAGGGAGGGGAGGTGGGAGATTTTTTTAATCAGATAAGTGTTTGGTTCAAAAGAGAGGAGGGGAGGGGAAGGGAGGGATTTTAATTAAAATGTGTTTGGTTCAGAAGGGGAGGGGAGGGGTTTTATTAATAATTTACAATTTTATCCTTATGGTCTTATATAAGTCATATGATATTCAAATGTGAAAAATTCATGCGCATTTTTTTGTAATAAAATTTATAATATTGAGTGATTAAAAAAGTATTTAATTGCCACATAACGTTAAAAAATTGAGTACAATTGATTTGACTTATAACTTTCCAACATAAATTTAACTATATGCCGATAGCATCATTTAAATTGTGATGAATCATCTAACAAAACAAATATATAAAATAACTTATTATTAAATATCAATAGTTCAAAATATTTAATAAAGTGAATAAACAAAAATAAATAAAAGGAATGGTTTATAATTTGATATAAAAGAAAATATGATAGAATACATAGCGAAATTAAAAGAAAAAAACGAATATAACTAAACATAATTTTTTTTATAAAAAAAAAGGCAATGACTATGATTTAGATTAAGTACAAAAGTTATAAAACAATTTGAAGGTGAAGAACAATTATAATAAGTTGATGGAAACAATCGAGAAAAAGTAATAACACGAAAGAAAACAAATAATTTTGAAATATTAAAATGAGGATATTTTAGTAAATATAATAATTTTTAAATATCAAAGCTCATATGGATTATTTAGAAATCCTAGTTTTAGATTTCAAATTTAATATTTATTATAGGTATTATTGCATAGTTACTTGCAAAATTAAGAGACTATTTTAAAAAATGGTATAACATAAAACAAATTTGGTAATGGGCCCATTTAGGACCGGATAGCCCGCAGCCCAGACAGAGCTGAGTTTAGGTAGTAAAATTAGAGCCCATATTCAATCGAGGAGGATTTAACTTAACACCCCCTCCCCCAATTTTAGCAATATTACCTTGTTACCCTTCAAATATTTCTGGAAATTATCAAATTAACAATGGTATACCGGAAATTTCGTGATAATATCGTTCATGTGAGACATATACCGAAAATTTAAAAAAAAAATCGGTGAAGTTATACCGAAAAATATGAAATTTACGTAAACTGGACAAAACTTCCGAAAATTTAAAATTTCCGGTATACTGGAAATTTTCGGTATGCATCCAGAATTTCCAAAAAAGAAGTATATTCAATATTTTTGACACATCGATCTGCATAAATGATTTCACATATAATAAATACATATTGTCCACAAGATTACATAACAA